TATCACTACACAACTCAACGAAATCCTATAAAGCCATTGTAGTTTTAACTCACTGTCTAAAGTACAACTGAACAAGTTCACATGTCACTTCACTACATGTTTCGGCAACATTGTGCCATCCTCAGGTGTTTTATTTACGCTAAGCTATTGCACTGCTTGCCATCATGTGTCTTTCATAAAATTATTAAAATGTACATTCTTCATTAACTATGATAAAATTTGTATATACTAAAACTTGTTAAGATTATTCACCTTATACGTCTTAATTCAAACTCGTGTACTGTATGGTTCTTCCACTATGGGAGTTGTTTATACTATCTTTTTGTATACCTGCAACGTGAAAATGGTACTTATTTATTACTTTCGACTTCTATCTGTTATGTGTTGTTTTATATTGTTTAGTACTCACTGTGTCTTGTGATGTGTCCTTCCTTTTTGGCTGTGAGCGTTGTGACGTTGGATGTGTGTGTGTGTGTCTTCGTATTGATTGAGTAATGATGTTGTGGGAGTAGGTGGTGGGGTTGTGTTATGTTGTTCTGTGTAAATTGTGTGTAATTCATGAAATATTGGGTTATATATTTCTTTATTTATATTGTTCATATGCCTCTTTTTCTTTGTTGTTCTGTATANNNCACACAGGAACATATCAAACCATAAGCCATACAACCTCAAGCTGACGTCTCCCATCTTCGGGATGAATTAACAAGGAGGAGTTCAGCATTTTATATAAAATATTTTAACATTTTAGCGTTTTAACTTAAAAATAGGTTCGGATGAAAAGTGAGAACTTGAGAGTGTACTCAACTATCTTAGCATGTTTTGTGCTTTTACACGTCAACATATCGTAGCAACGTCCACACGACAAACATAATTGTAAACATCAAAACCCAGCCACAGTGTTTCCATAATTATAGCAAGTGCCTCTGATGATGGTTGTGTCAAACCGAAACATGTAAGGCAGAAATAATAATAAAAAGTGACCTACAAATTGTTACACTCGACAGACTTTCTATTAACTTTGTGATTGATAGTGTAACGGACCAAAATGAAACAATTAAAAAAAAAGTTATAATTACTTTTGCATCCAGATTGGAGTTATCAGTAAATGAACGGTGTAACTCCACTCTACATATTTTTACAGGTGATGAGTGATGCTTCATACAGTCTGGCTTATTATCGCCATTCTCGCTGCATGATGTAGTTCCCACTCTCAGTTGCAAATGATACAACACACCATTTACTATCTGCAAAAAGGTAAATTTACACCTCCATCTCAAAACATCAGTGTGAAAGATACATTATAACACAAGTTAGGAACAGTATTTACTAGGTAACAATTCTGGTACATTCACAATGAACCTGTCTCTATTTTTTCAGTTCATGAATGATGATTTTCAGTGCCCACTTTGCACAAGTCTGGAACAGTGGACAGAGAGGCAAAAGGATGGATGGGCATAGTCTTCTCCTACAAATCCATATTTCAGCTTTTATGTGAGGTATAACATCTATTGCATCTAGTCTAGTGGTTCTTTAGTTGTGAGATGACACAACATAAAAATCACTTTTGTTTAGTTATCTAAAAATATAGAAAAGGGGTACTTAGTACAAAATTGGTGTTCAATTTTTTCTTTACAACTTTTCTACTAAAATTTTTAAGTAAATAACAGTGAATTACATGAAGAAATGTATTGGTTTTCATGTAATGTGTCCATTATTGCTGTCTCATTTTAACTGAAATTCGAATGCATCTACAAAAATTTTAGTAAAACTCAATATAAATTAATGTCATTAGTTCTGAAATTGTTACATGTGGACAGCCATGACATCCAGTCACACATATCCAAGGTAGTAAGTGCACTGTCCATTTAGAACATGTGAAAGAGGAAGAAATATGTTTTATGTTCCAAATGACTGGAATAAATAATAGTGAAACCATGAAATTACTGTTTGAAATATGGAACATCTGCTACATAAAATACCACATGAAAGCTACAAGTGAGTAATCTTATCTTTCGTTATGAAAAGAAAATCAATCTTACCTGCTTCTGTGCACCTAAGACCTCTAACACTACACGCCTCCTGTCATCCTCATCAATTTCATCTAATGTCCGGACAGCAATCTCTGAAAGTTTGTTAACAAGTTCTACCTCTGACTTGTCAATATCCTTCAGACCCCCAGGAACAGACCGGGGAGTGGTCTCCCTTCTGTTACGACTCTCTCCTGTGATATATTCTGCAAACTTCTCTATTATCTTTTCTTGCCTTTCGTTACTTTCAGAACTCTGGTCACTTTCATCTGACTGATCCTGTGGTTTCTGCCTTTCTGACTGCTTAGTTTCTTCAAATTCATTGCTGTTTCCTTCGGACTTTAATATACTTTCTTTCTCATTAGTAGATTCAGAGTTTTGTTCATCAACTTCGGATCTATCGGACTTCTTTTGTTTCCCATCAGGATTATTAACATCAATTTGTTCAGCATCAGTTTCAACATGATGATCCTCTGGTTCGTTTTCAGGCAGATATAAGCCATCTCTTCCATAGGATGAAGGTATTTTTGCAGTGACAAGATCTGGTTCAATCAATGTATCAAGGTAGTCAAATATTTCTTGACGGTTAGCTTCATTATTTGGTATAAAGTGAGGTTCAATCTCATTTTCAAGATCGTTATTATAGGAAGTGCAATTATTGCTGATAATCTCACGGCTGGAATCTAGCCATGGTTTCTCCAAGAACTCAACTGAGCATATTCTAACACTATCCATATTTGGTTCACAGGAAGTTCTATCTTGTGTTGAACCTTTCAAACATGATGTTTCTGTAACTTCTAGTTGAAGTATATATTTAACACCATTAACAACCTGTAAGGTAATTCAAAACTGGCATCAAAATTTCAAGGTACAAACGAAATTCTTAACATATTCTCAAAATGGATTTGGACTACATTCCAGTGCCTTTTGACCAATATTGTAGTGGTTTGGATAATTTCTGACAATACTGTAGGGCATAATGGAAAAACAATGTGAAAATCCCATTCACCTATACAAATTAGAAATTAATCCATGATTATACTTGGGTAGGAGGAGGGCAGGGGGCAGGGACACTATCTTTTAAACAACATAATACAGACAGAAAATTTGCATTATCAGTTCTAGTCATGTGTGTACAACACCCAGAAAAATTCCCTGCCCTGTGCTAATTTCATAATTTTATTCACAAATGAATATTCATTTCAAAACACAGGAACTACAGGGGGGGGGNAAAACCGAGGAACTGCAGGGGGGGGGGGGAAACTAAGGCTACCCCTGTAACAGGCTGTGAAGGCCCATAGGGTTGTGAGACATTGAGGGTCCCACAATATCTAGACAATCGGGTCAAAGATGGCGATAAGGTTGTCAGCCTTACGCACTGGCCACACTTCACTCCCCAGGAAAATTATTTAATTAATTCCTGGCACTCATTTCTGTTAGAGGCTGAGTCGACCCCAGGGCCACAGTGCAGTTGTAAGGATTAGGTCAATTGACAAAAATCCAATGACCTCATCGGGACTTGAACCCGCAACCTTCCGGCTTGTAGCATAGTGACTCAACCAACTATGCTACCGTGCGCCCCCACAGGAACTGCAGTACCTAGTTCAATATTATGAAAGTTCTAGTAAATATTTCATTTCATTCTGTGGGTTATTTAATGACTCTCTCAGCATACAGACTGTACAGCACTCAACAACAGAATGACTGATGAACTGGAGGAAAGTAGTGATGATGTGATCAGGATACTGTCCCACCATTTGCCTGACCAACTCAGGAACACCAAAAAGAACCTCAGAGGGAACATTCAAGATAAACATCTCCCGAATATGATCCTATGGCATTGCAGTTAGTCCAGCCTGCTTGGTGAGGTAAATACTGGAGACAAATTGTATTCATCAGGGGTGCCCAGTTACCACACAAAACACCATTCTGCCATGTACAGGTTTCCTTCACAGCTATATTACACCTCTGTCTTATGATCCAAAAAATTTCAGTGCAAAAATGTATGGTACATTTTCAATATTTTACATACTACAACTGCATTTCAGACTGCACATTTTTAGTATGTTACTAAAATGTTTGTAAAATAATTTGTTTTCAATTTTTATATTAAATGCTGCTGGGTAAGAGGCCGGGTGGGAAACAGAGCCGATCTTGAAACTGTGGAGAAGACAGGAATCTCTGCACCTGCTGAGTACTGAACCCTGATTCCTCAGTTGTCCAGCCAACAGCCTAGTCACTGTACTGAATGAGCTATCTCCTTGATCCTCTATATTCTATTCACATAGTGTTCCCTTTTTTTCATAATCATATATTTTTCAGTAATAAAATGGACAATATAGTACCTGCTTCTGTGCCTTGGCAATCCTTGTGGCTCTGTGCATATACTTTCCATGTGAACCTTCATCAATCACAGCAAGAGCTTGATCTACATAGTCTTGCAATGCTGGGTTGCTAACATCAAGATCAGTAGGGCATCCTGTGCAGTACGTATGTGTAGCTATTATCGGTTCCTCTACTATTGGTGTTCGGGACTTTTCTACCTGTTCTACTATTGGATCCAGCTCTTCTACTACTGGAATGGAATGACTTTCTACTGCTGGCAATGACATCTCTTCATTTAAAGGTTCTATCTGGTCATCCATCACGGTATCCAAGTTACTTTTTTGATGCTGAAACATACATACATAAACACACACATACAGCATCATCATCATCATCCAAAAAAAAGCCCTTTTTAAGCCACAGCCTTGGTTAGAAGATACTGCCAACTTTATCTTGAATCAGACCATCTGGTTTTGACTTCATTGTATTTTGTAACATTTTTTTTTTTACAGAGAAAGGTCGTCAGCCTTGTATAGAACCCCCAGTCTGGAGGACCAGGTCTTTGTATTTATGTCCCCCAGTGAAAGGGTGGCCCAGTTATACTCCCAGGCACCAGGTTCCCTTTTTGTTGCCTTCTACAACTTGCACAGCTATGGTGGAGGTATTCCAACTCACCTCCAGNCAGCCCTTTTTAAGCCACAGCCTTGGTTAGAAGATACTGCCAACTTTATCTTGAATCAGACCATCTGGTTTTGACTTCATTGTATTTTGTAACATTTTTTTTTTTACAGAGAAAGGTCGTCAGCCTTGTATAGAACCCCCAGTCTGGAGGACCAAGTCCTTGTATTTATGTCCCCCAGTGAAAGGGTGGCACAGTTATAATCCCAGGCACCAGGTTCCCTTTTTGTTTCCTTCTACAACTTGTACAGCTATGGTGGAGGTATTCCAACCCACCTCCAGATGGGGACCTTATCAGTTATACCATAATTAAACATCATATGCAACCAAAAACAAGAATGAGATTTCTAATCTCTTCCTGTCCAAAAATATGGTTACCTTACATTCACAAATGAAGAAACATATATAAAAAGGAACATAATTTGCAGGAAAATATGTCACCGATATCAGTATCTTTAGTAGTTCTGCTTCTTTTTACGGTTTATAAAAATAGTAGTGCTTAAAAAAACATCACGTGATCATGAGAAAGCCTGCGAAAACAATGATGGAATGTTGCCCAAAAAAAATCCAGTATTTCTGAAATATGCCAATGTCTTTAATTGTTCAAACACATTTTGGAAACTGGATCTGTTTCCTTCATCAGATGTAAGGGTGGAGAGTGCTTCTACTCACCCAGACTTTTTCTTACCTTACAATTGATTTCTGGAACAAATCTAGTACTGAAACACGCAGTTTCTGAACTGCATCTGAAAAACTCAAGATGAAGGTCAATGTCCAAAATAACATTCTTGTTTATTAAGATCCCTGTTAGATATTCACATGTTAAGTGATGCTGAAGAATAAAGCCTCCAACATAAAGTAAGTAAAGTAAAGCTATCCCTGTAACAGGAGGTGAAGGTCCATAGGGTTGTGAGACATTGAGGGTCCCACATTATCTAGACAATTGGCTCAAAGATGGCGGTAAGGTTGTCAGCCCTATGCGCCGGCCTCGCTTTACTCCCCAGGAAAATTATTTAATTCATTCCTGGTACCCATTTCTGTTAGAGGATGAGTAGACCCCTGGGCCATAGTGCAGCTGGAAGGATTAGGTCAATTGAAAAAAAAATGCAATGACTTCATTGGGACTNCTTACTTACATCTTCATCTTGTCTGATCTTGCCGGTTCCATCATTATATGCATCTTCATGACAGGCTGGTTCTGAATAAAGCGTGTCTTCAACCCAAGGACGATCCCAGCTTGTGATCGAACATATTATGCGCCTGTTCGATACATTCTCAGGACATAGTCGCTTTTCATACAGTCCATCTGTATCACTGTCAGTGTCAACATTCTTCAGACACAATGTTGGCGCTAAGCGAAGTTCAAGTGTTGTAACAGTACCTTCAGATCCTGGTGTAACCTACATGCAGTAAAATGGAACACACGACAATATAAATTCTTGAATTCTGCAACATTTTCAAACAATCCCTTGCAATTCTTATAACACAATTTTCTTCAGTCTTAACACATTGAGGACCGGTTGCATGATATTGTGACGTGTCGCCCTATGGAGGACACCCCCCTTCCTCCCCAGTGGTGACTTGGCACCGGAGCGCTGTGCTGCTACGGTAATAAGCAGGTCAAGAGCAGAGTCCAAGCACACTGGTCGCTATGCAAAGCGAGTAAACATGGGTTCCTAGAGACCACTGTAATAAACAGTGGTACCCATTACTTAAAAGGCAGACACAGCGACTAGGCAACAGGGAAGCAAGGCGTTTCCCCCGTGTCTGGCCGAGGGTTTATAAGAGAACTACACTGCCTACAAAGTCAGTTAAAGTGTAGCAGCCTATGAAGCGAGTTAAAGTGTATCAACAGCTGAAGTGAGTTTTCAAGGCAGGAGCCATGGAGTGAGCTGGAGTATAGCAGCAGTCGCGGAAAGAAGAACCGGACGCATGTGTAATTGTGAGTGTGTAATACAGAGAGACTTCTATAGCTCCCGCATTGTCCTGTGAATACATGTAGACTACTGAGGACAGTGTGAAGAGATTTGTGTGTAGGGTTTGTAAAGTGTGGAAACCCGTAACATTGTTATAATTAATTGTAGACGAGACTTGTAGGTTGTTAAATAAACCAATTAACACTCCGAACGGTCTCTTCAGTAACAAAATACGTTACAATATCATGCTTTTGGCTTTTAAACATGGCGGACCGGTCTATATCATGGTTTCAGGACACATTAGGTTGTAACACACTATTTTTCTCTGGCGCCACCCAAATGAATGACTACTGTGTAATATTACTCCGGAATGTTTGCTTAGTAGGCAGTAACTTGACCTCGCTGTTTTGGTTTCCCGTCCAAAGGAAAATGATCTTTGACCCTTCAAGCTCTTATGTACCAATTTGATTTGTTTCATTTTTGGTCTGTCACACTAAGAGTTACAATTATAAAAGACAAGTCCGTCCAGTGTGACTATTTCAGTTTTCTCACTTTATGATTCACTAGCCTTACATGTTTCGATCCATTTGGATCATCTTCAGAGGCACCAAACACTTTTTAGAGACCACTGTCGCAACAGTTGTCATATCAATTACACATGTATTGCCAAGTACACAATGTTCCATCTATCAGTCACAACAGCCTTTCTGGTTGTAGAAATATTTAAAGTTGTTTTAAA